TCTCTCTCTCTTCTTTCTTGTTCTATGCATGAGTCAAATAAAACAAGTATAAGCCTTCTTAAAAATAATACTGCACATGCAGTTGATAACAAAAAGAAAAAAAACACATAAATACATTAAATAGCAGTGGAAAAAATGTTAGAGAAAGAAACTCCCAAATGCTGTTTGGCGACTGTGACAGTTGAAGGATTACGTAAGAATTCTTTTCCTTTTCCCTTTGTTCTAAATTGACTTCAATGTGCAAATATCACTTCTGTAGCAAAATAAGTTCAGTCCCTCCCCAGTGAATTTTCTACTCTTAGGCAAGTAATTTAATATGTGTGCATCACCAGTCTCCACTATGCTTCTGCCCTCACTTTCTCTAGTACCCTCTGAGTTCTCAGGAAGGCCAGAAAGCTCTACAATCATCTTAGTAATCCCGTCCAGGTTCACTCCAACAACTTCCCACACAATTTACATTCTAAGAGGATAATGCAATGGACAAAAATGCCACCAAGAGGTGCTATTAAAAACTCTACCAGGAAGTGTATATCATCCTCTCTCTGGATTTTTTTAAACTTGCCTTTTAAGTCTTATTCTCAATCACTTGAGTCTCCCATAATTTATTACCCACTGACCTCTTGTAACCATACACTTTGGGCAACTCTGAGAATTCTTTTGTGAGTTCACCAAAGCCAAACAATCCTGTAATCAGTAAAAATGGACACGTTATCAGTAGTTTTAAAAATGATATCCAGCAAGCGTCAGTTAAAATAGAGGTCTTTGTCTATAACAGACATAGGACGTAATGTGATGAAGCAGAGGGAGAGGTGGGCATTGAAGAAATTCTGATGAACACAGATCTGATTATAAGGACATAAAATCTCAAAAAAAGCCCCTTCCTAATGATGTACACAAGAAACTTGGTCTGGTCACTCTGCACACCACATGATTCCACTCGGAGAAGGGGGGAGCCTCAGGCTTGCTGGAAGGCAAGGACAGATGTCTCCCGACATCCATTCCCCCATCTTCCTCAGTGACAGATTCCTAAGCTGATTTAGGACATCAGTGAGTCCAACTGAAAGCATGTGCTTCCTGACCACCCTAGCAACCAGGAGTAGCCAAAGATAAGAAAGCAGAAGTTAACGAGCGAGGCTGCCAGAGGAGCCCTTCCAAGAGAACCAAGACAGCCAGGAGAGCCTCTTTTGCCTACTGTCTTTCCTCTTGGCTTTGCCACCATGATTCCTGGACCCTTGCAGCCCTCTGCAAGCCTGAGAATGGACATCATGCACTAAGGCTGAGGGAAGAGAGAAACATAACGTGGACATCATGGAACCACCATCCCTGGCCAGACTTCCGACCTCCAGACTTCTCTCAGGCAAGAGAATAAACCTCTACATTTATTTAATTCACTACAGTTGGGTAACTTGGTTGTGCACATGCAGATGCAATTCCTAATGTATCTGGGCCTTTGGGATATATCATAAAAACTGGCTATCTTGGTAACAGAATATGTGGTCCTGAACCTAGCTATAAAATATCCACTATCCTAAAACTACCACCACAGAAATAAATGTAAACTTTACTTATAATTTTAAATTATTACACATAATGGTCAGAGTAAATGAAGACTAACAGTAAGCAAAGCTGACATTTATTAAACAGTTATTATAGGCCAAGAAGTTTGCTATAGATTTCACAGACCTGAACGCATTAGGTAAGGACAATTAACAGCATTAGAAGAAACTAAGTTTCTGGGAGGAGGGCAGGCTTGAGTTACTTTGCAGGGTTTTTGCCCTTAGCTTTTATCATCGAGAGAAACCATGCAGCACAGCTCGGTCAGGAAGACTGACTCCACAGCCCAGGGTCTGAGCAACCACAGTGTAAAAGGAAGCATAAAGGGCATCTAATCAGAAACACTCTGTGAGCTATAGAAGAGCACTCTGTATAACTGGCCAGTGAAACTTTCAAGCAGGAAAACTGAACTCATGGAAAAGTAAGTTTTAAAAGTTGTCCAGACTTCGCCAGCAGTAAGTCATACGTACGGACAGGACTTCTTTTGCACTGATATTATGACCGAGATGGACACAACCTCACGTCTGGAGTATTCTTGCCAAAACGCATAAACTCAATCTTCCCATAGGAAAATATCGGCTAAATCTAAACTGAGAGACATTCTACCATACAACAGACTCCTCCCAAGTGTCAAGTCATAGGGTGGGCACTTAGGACAGCAGTTACCATAACACTTGAAACATCTGCATCTTGCATCAGAGTATCTGGGTTTGAGTCTCAGCTCCACTCACAATTCCAGCTTCCTGCTAATGTGCACTGCGGTGGCAGCAGGTGATGGATCAAGTAATTGGGTCTCTGCGTATTATGTGGGAGACCCAGACTGACTCCAGGCTCCTAGATTTGGCCCCAGCCCAGTCTTAGGCATTATGGGCATTTGAGGAATGGACCAGCAAATGGGAGTTCTTCTCTCCACCTCTCAAATAACTTTTTAAATAAATTAAATTAAAAATAAATACATAAAATTCCTAAAACTAGACTCAACAAGAATGATAATCAAATATTTCCAAATAACTAAGAAAGAATTTCAAATTATCACCACAAACACATGTCAAGTTAATGAGGTAATGGATATGTCAAGTTACTATTCACTTTAAAATAGTTCATTTTATATCAATAAAATTTAAATTTTAAGTAATAAATGTATGCATTAATTAACTTCAAAATTTTGCTTATGGATATGAACATAAAAAATTCAAACAAAATAATTTTAAAAGTTACTTGTAGATAATGCAGGATTAACAAAGATGTAGGAAAACAGATAATCTTAGAAGTGTAAATTGGTAAACATCTCCATAGGGCAAGTTGGCAATACCTAAAAAAATTTAAATGTGCACAAGCTCTGAGCCAGCAATTCTACTCCTAGAAATTTATCCTACAGTATCACATTGTTCTTAATAGCAAAGAGCTGGGAACATAAATATTGAAAACTAGGAGGCTGACTAAAGATGGCAAGTCAACAATATAGCTATGCCATAAATGGTATGATCATCTTATTAAAAATATTTCTGCAAAATGTACCTATTTCAAAAGCAGGATGTACAGAGTTGTAAAAATTAGCAATATACTTTTATGTAGAGCACAGTTATGGTACTTATTTTCTTCCCTTTGCTTTTCTATGTTTTCCAAATTTTCTGTAATACATCTCAGGGTACTTCAAAACGTTCAGGGACAATGAAATTAAAAGGCAAGTTTGTTTTGGATGCGAAAATTTTTGAAGCCTATGCATTCTCACATTGGAATTAACTATGCAAATTGGAAAAGTAAGACAAGATTTATCTGTGCCTGAAAAGAATCCTAGCAGCAAATATGTGCATGAGGACCAGGTGCCCAACACATGTGAATGCACAAGATAGACACAACTGCCCATCTGTAGCATCACTCACAGGTGTCACCTCCACATTCTATGTTTGCAATTACCAACTTACAAACTCAGAACCAATTTTTTCATTTTCACCAGTCACTGCAACCAGCTCAATGAATTCAATACTGTAGACAATAGTGTAATGGTGTTCTGATCTTGGGTCAAGAAGTGAGAGCACCACTCTGCTTACATGAAGGAAAGAGCAGCAAGTAGGGGGAAAAAAATAAAAAGAGGGGAGTGTTTATCCTGCAGGCCTCAAATCTCCAGTTTTATCCACTACAGGAAGTGACAGCTACTTTTTGTTTCATCCACTTTTCTTTAACCCCATGAGAAGTGTGTTCTATTATCTGTGTATACACAATGATCTACTGCTTAAGTAAGCCAGCATATCAGGGCAGGAAACCGGGGTGTATGTTTAAGGTTTAGATCCGGTCTCAGCTGGTCTGATTATCAAGAACTGGGAAGTGGAGCTCAGGATAAATATGCCGTTTGTGATAGGCGCACTGACAGTTCCCTGTAACTGCTCAGCTTTGAGCAGCTGCACGCAGAGCCCGACGTGACATTCTCTAGCCCTACAGTGTCCACTTCAGAGAAAGCCCGAGCTACAGTCAGAGGGGAAATGTTTTGGGCCTGTGATTTGGATGACCTCCTTAAACACCCTCCATCACAGGAACCCTGGGAACTTCCCCAAACCCATTGTAAGGAATCCAATGGTTCCAATCCTGTATCTTACTGGCTCTTGAATTTCTATAGAGGAGAGGCTTAAGGCACAGTAATCTGGAAAGAAAGGGGACTGAAAGAAGTCGTTTTCAAATGTTTTTATCTCCATATGTAGTAATAACATTTTATCTTACACTGATATCCACAACCAACAACATATATGCAAAATGCATAAATACATGCGCACACACAACTATACACACAGTCCTGACATACCATGGTTTGATTTGTGATTTTTCAACTTTCCAATGGGTTTGTTGGGACCTAACTCTCTAGTAAGCCAGGGGGCAATTATGTCTGAAATAAATATTTGCATGAAACAACAAGTAATGGGTATCTCAAAATGTTCATGGAAAATAGAACCTAAAAATAAGACTTTTGGGTGCAAAATAAAATTTGAAATCTATGTAGTTTTTTCCATAATACACATTTTCCAAGAACTTTAGGAGATCCTTCATGTGCTAAGTGTAGCACACTTTGACACGTTCTGTTATGTTAGCTTTACTCTGTTTCATCCCATTAAAAATTGGACCTAAATCTCACTAAAATAATCTCAGCAGTCCATTATGATTGTAGTCATTTGCAATTGGAAAAGCACTGGGCAGGGGTCCTGGGGCCTAGGTTTAAGATCACTTGGATTTATGCCCCCCTCCAGCTGCATGCCTTGACATCATGGGCACATGGTGCCTCACTGAGGTCTCAGAGAGAAAGAAAAGCTTGAGAAATCATCAGAAAATGCAAGTGTTCAGGATCACAAATTTCCCCAATCCTATTTTCCAGGGTTGCATAACTCAAGTTTCTGAATCCTCCTCAGAAACCCTCTCTGGCACCTCAGCCGCAGGTGGCGACGCCCTGAGCAAGTTACCGTAGGAAGAGCTGTTGAAGAGCTCGATGTTGAAGAAGGCGTAGTCTCCACCCGTCATGCCGTGCCTGTGTGCCGCCAGCATGATGCTCCGCACTGTGTCACCGCTCGCACACATGATCACCACTGCAGGAGGAACAGAGGACATGTGTGAGATGCCTGCATGGTGACAATGGGACCAGGATGGGTGTTTCCCTGGTCCTGGGCTACATCCTCACAGGTGACATGTCCCAGGATCCCAACAGATGCTTAAAACCATGGACAGCAACAAAGCCTTATATGGACCATGATAAAGTTCAGTTTACAAATTAAACTCAGTAAGACAAGACCAACAACAATAATAAAATGGGATTCTTATAACAATGCATTGTCATAAAAGTGTCTGAAAACTTATGAATTGTTTCTTTCTGGAATGGTTTGTGTAGTACTTTTGGACCATGATTGACTGAAACCTTGGAAAATGAAGTCACAGATATGCAGAACTAATTTAACAACCAAGGGAAAAATAGTAACTTTGCCAGGGAGAAATCGAGTAGACACCACCATAACTAAATGATGGGGACCAACATGACCAACCACGGGAATGAGATTTTCAGCCTCCCAGTGCAGCTCAAGGAGGGCCAGAAACATAAACATGGCCAGCCTGCATCTTGTCTACAAACACAACCTGGGGAAAGTCTGTACTGTAGCTGACCTATGCTCTTTAAAATAACCAATTTCATGAAAAAAAAAAAAAAAGAAAGAAAGAAAGAAAGAAAGGCTAAGGAAAATTCCAGACTGAACGTAATTTAAAGGAGCAAAACGCTAAACACAACATGTGATATTGGACTGGGTTCAGAACCTTAAATATATAAATAAATAAATTTTATGATGAAGGCCATTACTGAGACAACTAATGAAATTTGACTAAGGTCTGCAAACTAGATAACAGAATGATTTGTGTTGGAATTCTTGCCTTTCATACCTACACTGTTGTTAGGAAAGTGACTGTCCTTGTTCTAAGGAAACACTCACTTGAATATTTAGAGGTGAGAAGTACCACCCTGAGGCAGGCATGTGGCTCTCTGGGTTATGCCACCATCTGGGACACCTGAATTCCATACTGGAATGCAAGCTGGAGTCCCAGCTACTTCCTGCTTCTGATCCAACTTCCTGTTAACAAGCCTGGGAGATGGTAGCCCAAGAACCTGGGTTCCTGCTGTCCACATGGGAGACCCAGATGGGATTCCTGGCTCTGACTTCAGCCTGGCCCAACCCCAACTGTTGCAGGCATTTGAGGAGTGAACCAGTGGGTGGAAAATTTCTCTCTCTCTCTCTCTCTCTCTTTCTCTCTCCGCCCCCCCCCCTTCTCCTTCTGTCACTCTAGCTTTCAGGTAAATGGGTTTTTTTTAAGCATAATCTTGTCTCAAATGGTTCATGAAAAGATAATATTCTCAGTGTAAGTATGAGGATGCTTCAAAAAATTTATGGAAAAATAGAATTAAAAGGGAAGTTTATTTTAGTGCAAAAAAATTTAATCTATGTGCAGTTCTTTCATAAATTGTTTTCCGTGAATTTTTTGAAGACTGGGTATACATGCATATGTATGTATATTGACAGACAGATAGGGAAGGGAGGCGGAAGGAAAGGGACAGGGAGAGATATGGAATGGAAAAGCAAATGCAGCAAAATATTTACAATTGGTGAAAATCTGGGAATGGAGGCTGTACAGAGATTCTTTAAATTTTCTTACATCATTTTCAATAGTGTAAAATGAATTCAAAATATTTTTAATGCATCAATTAAATCATTAGAGTAGACCAATGTAACACAGTGAAGGCAGCCACCTGCTCTTTCTACTTAATAACATTTTCCTGGAAAAGCAAACTCAGAGTTTTAGAGAGAATATTCCTCTGGCAAATAGAGGACACGGTGAATGCAACAGGGTTTGTGCTGCCTGCATGCTACAACAGCATTCTCAGGTTGTCTCCACACACACAGGAAATCGTTACCAAGACCCCAGGTCCCTCCCCCACGTCCCCTCAGTTCACATCCACACCGTCGGATTTGAGGGCTCTAAGCAGTTCCAGAAGATTGTGGCCTGACCTGTAAGAGCCACACGGGCTGCAGTGAAGTGGGGACCTGGCCGTTACCCAGTGACTCTGTTCACAGCAGATGGACCCCAGGCCCCACCAGCAAACCAGGCTGTGCTGCACACACGCACCATGTGGAGGCAAGCTCACAGAGATCTGGGTGCTCTCACCGCGTTACCCTGATGGATGCCAGCCCTCTGAGACGTGTATGTTCTTTGTAAAAGCACAGGTGCTGAAAGACGTAAAACGAGCTTCAGGCCATGCTAAAGTGGCCTTGGCAACCTGTGTGGAGGGCTCCGCTCTGACTGATCTTTAGCTTACTGCACACATAAACTCAGTGTTAGATCAGAACTCTAACATTTCTCACTACAAAAGGGCTCGGTGTACAGGGTACAAGCCCTGGAGGACCAGTTTTAAAACAATGTGAAACTCCCCAAGGCCTGTAACCACAGGCAAAGGTGTCCTTTGTGCCTAGATGTACAGATATATATTTGGGCTAGATAATCAATTGAAGATGCCTCAGTGATGAAGCTTTCAAAGAAACTCCTATTACAATGATCTTAACTGTTGCTTTAGTTCTGATTTGATCCCAGCACCTTCAGTTAAAAAAAAGAAAAGCCAAGTTATCCCACAAAGCAGCCAACAAGGAGCTGTGGCTGGACCAATTCGAAAAGTATGGACCTGGAGCCGGTGCTGTGGCACAGCAGGTTAACACCCTAGCCTGCAGTGCTGGCATCCCATATGGGCGCTGGTTCAAGACCCGGCTGCTCCACTTCCAATCCAGCTCTCTGCTATGGCCTGGGAAAGCAGCAGAACATGGCCCAAGTCCTTGGGCCCCTGCACCAACGTGGGAGACCAGGAAGAAACTCCTAGCTCCTGGCTTCAGATGGACACAACTCCAGCCATTGCAGCCAACTGGGGAGTGAACCATCAAATGGAAGATTCATTCTCTCTCTCTCTCTCTCTCTCTCTCTGCCTCTAATCTCCCTGTGTAACTCTGACTTTCAAATAAATAAATATATCTTAAAAAAAAAAAAGTAAAGTATGGACCCAAGGCCAGCGCTGTGGCACAGTAGGTTAAAGCCTTAGCCTACAGCACAAGCATCCCATATTGGTGCCAGTTCAAGTCCCAGCTGCTCCACTTCTGATCCAGCTCCCTGTTAATGCTCCTGGGAAAGCAGCAGAAGATGGCCCAAGTGCTTGGGCCACTGCACCCACGTGGTAGACCCAGAAAAACCTCTTGGCTTCTGACTTCAGATCAGCTCAGCTCTGGTCATTGTGGCCATTTGGGGAGTAAACCAGCAAATGGAAGACCTCTCTTTCTCTGTCTCTATCTCTCTTTGTAACTCTTTTGAATAAAATCATCTTAAAATAAAGTGTGGACCCCTAGAGTAGGCATCTCCATGAGGCCCAGGAAGCCCACCCAGGCTGGCTGTCCACCAAGCAGCCCTCATCATTTTTGGATCAACTGATCTGGGTCCTCAGAAGCAGAATCTTCTTCTGTCAGCACATAGAGAGAGAGTAGATTCATCATGTAGGGTCAGAGTCCCAGTGAACGAACTCAGATATTTATAGATCATCTGAACTGCAGATTACTTAAATTCAGCGAGGACCAGAAAGATCGAGAACATGTCTGTGTCCACATGCCCTGTAAGTGGACATGCTAATTAGGGAAGCCAAATTATAAGCAGAAGGATGCTGGTGTGGGTGATTTCACAGTCAGGGCATTCAATGGGAGGATCAGGTGTCCAAAGGCACTGGGCTGTGACAATGCTAAGCACACACCTGAGGCATGTACCTGGTCCAGGAATAAACAGGCTATGTCCTGGGCCCAAGCTTCCCAGAGTTCCAGTGGGTTCTGCCCAATACTAGCCTCTGTGGCTCTTCCGTTTTAACATTTCTAGCCTGTCTCCTTCTCTCTCCCCATCACCACCACCACCACCAATCCCATCTGATGGACAAACGTTAGTACCTACTTAGACAGCAAGAGTGACATGGTGCAGCATTTGCCTGTCTTAACAAGACTTTGATTATTTAAATTCTATCCATTTTTGTGTTGTGGTTTAACAGGAAACATTTTTTGTGTTGTGGTTTAACAGGAAACCCTAATTTCCAAGTTCATGGATAAGACAATTTTCTTAAAAAAAAAATACTCATAGTGCACAGTATCACCTCGTTTCAGTGGCAAGGCAGAATGCAGAACCCCAGATTTTCCTGCTGATCCCCAGTCTCTCCTGGTTGTCTCATTCATGCCTGATTGAACAATGAGTATTTTTAGTAACTGGCCTTTAGACAATCTATCAGAAGATTAAAATAGCTTTCATTGAAACAGCTATCCCCTCCTACTCAAGTTTCATCAGTTTTTGTTTACATGAGGGTACTTCAAAAAGTTCACAAGATTAAAAAATAAGTTCATTTAGATGCAAAAAGGATTGAAATCCATGTGAAGTTTTTCATAAGGCACATTTTCCATGAACTGCTTGAAGACCTCTCGTAGTAACTAACGTAATTACATACTTAAAACAATAAGCACAGCTGACATAAACAGTTCTGGGGACAACTCTTGGAAGGTGTACACAGAGGTCTAGGACATGAGTACCATACTCGGCAGGCCCACACGTACCAAGAGTTAGCAAGATTCACAGATGAACAGAGAGCATCAGCTAACCTTACAAACTGCATCCATGCAGATCTGGGAGACCCATTCCTGTTCTAACGATATTCAAATACTAATTTTTGTTAAACTGAAGGCATAAGGTGTGACTCTAAGTGTCTGGATAGACTTTTCTTCACTCTGCTCTATCTCCTGCTCCTTTCCAAAGACCTTGTAAACTTCTGAGCCATCCCCACTGTCTGGTTCCCACAACACCTTCTGTAAATGACCTCTCACTACTGCAGCACACTCTTGCACCCAAAGAATGGCAGATAGAAGTGCAAAAGGATGGCTCCAGAAGTCAACTCAGAGAACCAACAACATCCCAGGTGATAAACCTGCGTTAAGTGGATATCCTGTGCCCAGCCTCGGGTTTCCCTCTGGTGCAGCATCTAATGGGT